GTGTTTGTTTTGTTGCCTGTGCCCCTGTTCAAATGATTTCACCTCACTTTCCCTCCCTGTGATCATTGGATTTTGAAAAACGTGGCTTGTTGAGGAAACAAAGATTGGTGATAAAGCTTCAGTGGAGATGCCATTTCCCCATGATTACTCCTTTGGGAGTGAATTTCCCTTCCTAGGAGATTATCTCTTGATTTCCTGTTGTTTTGCCCCCGTTCTTAACTCTGAGTCATTTGTAACTAGGGGACTGCATGTATTTTTTTTAATTAAATTTTATTTCGAAAAGATAATACACCAACCATATATGTTGCAAAAATGTACACATACACAAACAAACACACATACACAAACAACCCTCCATACAGTTACCCCTCCACCACCCCCAGTGCTACCCACCACCTTGACTTCCGTCACTAATCCACGCAGGATTTATGCACAACTTATTTAACCCTCTATACTTCTAATTCAATAAATTCCTCTTGTTTTTATTTCTTTAGCTCTCCCGTCAAGTATGCTAAGGCCAGCTTCCAGTTTCTTTCAAATATTTCATTATTTTCATATTTCAAATTGCTTGAAATCTTAGCCATCTGTGCATAATCCCACAATTTATCCTTCCAATCTTTGATGCTTAATGTTTTCTCCCCTTTCCAATTTTTGGCAATTGTAATGCGTGCAGCCGCAAAGCTGTACAAACAGATTTCTCTCTCTGGCTGTTCTAAACTGCATGTATTTTTGACCAGCTAGAATAATAAAAGTTACTTACCATGAAATGGTAGGTGTTTATTGCTTATCTTTCCAACCCCACCATGAGCAAATCCTTCTGAAACAGTAAAAGCATGTAGCAGGCAGCCCTTAGCTGCGCTCCCCCCCCCCCCATATATATGCTGTCTACAAAAGTTTGTTCTGTCCATTGGCTAAACCCTTCATTCCCTGATGGGCATCCCCCACTTTATAGGCAGTAATCATTGTATGCACTCAGTGCTGGTGCATTCACATCCATACACTTCTTTCCCCTCCTGCTGGGTTCCTTCCATATGAACCCAAACTCCGCAAAACCTTCAATATTGTTGTCTTGACCAAATATGTAAACAGTGGATGTTTGTGGGAACAATAAAATCTACATGTTGTTATTTTTATGATATTTTCTTTAAAGGCCAGTGGAAGAGTTGAGTTTTGGACCTGGAACTTGGGAAATCTGGGGTTGCTGGGCTTTGAAACATACTTGGTCCAGTTACTTTTCTCCTGCCTGACCTACGTCACAGAGTTGTTGAGAGGAAAATGGGAAGGAGGAGAGCTATGTACATTTCCATGAGTTCATTTCCATGAGTCCAGGAAAAGCAGAGTTTAAAGTGGAAGTAATAAATTATGATCTTCAACATAGTCTCTTTACCTATATTCTTGACACATACGGTAGTTCAATGCTTCTTAGTTCAAACATTGATTTCTTTGTTTATATTCATCTGCAACTGTATGTCCTATCACTCACATATCTGCTTTTTCTTCTGTTTCCCCTTTTTAGCATCATTTCCCCTTAACTAATTCAGACTTCTGACAATACCAGAATTAATTAAGGAAGACATTTTTTAAAGCTGCTCACGGTATTGCTTCTTACAACGGTAGCAAATACTGGCGTTGAGCCCACTTTGCGTAGTGACCTTTCTGAATTGTTTTAACGTCCAGCATGAGGGGTTCTCCCTATATCGCAGAGCGCAGTGAGAACTTCACCTTCCCCTACAATACAAACAGATGTCCAATCTGCCCAGCTAGCAATAACATTTTGGCTTCCTGTGCATCCGCAGATGCTCTTACAAGAAGGAAAGGCTTTTGGCAAGTCCTTTCCATGGCATCAGCCCAAGCAATTCCCTTTCCTGTCTACATTTTTCCATTTCACATCTGTGCAGTGTTTTAGGCTGTAGTGTGGAGCGCAATGTGTATTACATCCAAGGTATGCATTCCTATGCAATTTCTCAGCTTTGTTGTTGGGCTTATTCATCAAGGACAGGTTGAGCACAAGAAATAAAAGTAGCACAGCTGGGCAATACCTGTAGTAAGATCAACCACTGTCCCAAAGAAGTGTCCAAACTTTCAGGTTCTCCAGGGCAGGTTGGTAGAGATTGGAGGAGGAGGGGAGAAGAATGAGAAAGTTTGCCACGTCAGATAAGCCTAATGCATCATCCAATCTAATGCGCACCTCAATTTTCAAAACTCTGAAACCTAAAAAGGTATTTACCATATTATGCAAATCTAATGTTCACCCTAATTTTGAGAAGGTAATTTAGTCAAAAAAGATGAGCATTCGATTTAATTAAATACAGTATTTAATTGTCATGTATGTTAGAAAACTTTTGAAGTGTAAGATAGTATAGGACTTGGAACAAAATACTACTAGCATTGCATATTTGGGACAGGCAGGATATTTGTTTAACGTTAAAAGGAACTTCTCATGTACAGAATTAGTTCCTCTAAGTCAGGGATCCACAAACTTTTTAAACAGAGATCCAGGTCACAGTCCCTCAAACTGTTGGAGGGCCGGATTATAGTTTGGAAAAAAAATGAATGAATTCCTATGCACACTGCACATATCTTATTTGTAGTGCTAAAACACTTAAAAACAATACAATAATTAAAATGAAGAACAATTTTAAGAAATATAAACTTACTAGTATTTCAGTGGGAACTGTGGGTCTGCTTTTGGCTGATGAGATAGGATTGTTGTTGTTGTTGTTGTGTGCTTTCAAGTAATTTCAGACTTAGGTTGACCCTGAGCGAGGGCCGGGTAAATCACCTTGGAGGGCCGTATCCAGGACCCCTGGATTAATTTGAGGACCCCTGCTTTAAGTTAATGATTTTTAAATTTTTTATCTAGTATGCTATAGTGCTTTTTTATTGTTCGACTAGGACTCCAGGATACCAGAATTTAAATCCTTGCTTGGTCTTAAATACTTAACTGACTCTGGGCAAGATCACACTCTCTCAGACTCAAAGGAAGGCAAGGGCCAACCTCCTCTTAATCAGCCTGTCAGTCATTTTTGAAAAAAAAATGATGTCTACATTTTACAACAGCACTTACATTGTTTATCTGGACGGTTGATATCTCAAAGGTGTGGCTATGTAGCAAAATTTGAAAAGAATTCTGTTCCTGGTTTGAAAGTGTTATTTCCTGTTTAATTGTGCAGGACTTACTTTGAAAGTAGTTGTTATGCTCCTTTGTTTTTGTGGCTGCCACAAACAATGTTGAATTGGTTGCGACTCAATGATATAGTCATTGAAAAACTATAGCAAAATGTGCTGCAGGATTTCCCACAAAAACAAAGTTTTGGCAGTTTAATAAACTTTTTTTCCATGTTTTTATCATAGAACCAATTAGGAAATGACATTTAAAACCCAGGAAGAAAAATCGTGTTATGTAGTGTAGTAATTAATGTAATGTATAAAGTAATTAATCTAGGAAAATATTCCATCAACTGGAAAATTAACCAGCTTCTATGGAATAATTTATGTGAAATGTTTTCTGTATGTGTATTATTTATTTATTTATTTACAACATTTCTACCCCGCTCAACCCCAGAGCTGCTAACACTGGCAACAATTCGATGCCACAATATCACAATATAACAACAATATAAAATCATAAATACACAATAGATTAAAAACAACATTAATTATACATATGTATTTGTGTGTGTGTGTATGTATATCTATATAAATAAAAATGTAATGTTCGTTTGTGGGATTAACAACTCAAAAACCACTGGACGAATTGACACCAAATTTGGACACAAGACACCTAACATCCCAATGTATGTCCTTTACTCAAAAAATGATTTTATCATTTGGGAGTTGTAGTTGCTGGGATTTATAATACACCTACAATTAAAGAGCACTCCGAACTCCACCATTGATGGAATTGAACCAAACTTGACACACACAACTCCCATGACCAGCAGAAAACACAAGGGCTTGGTGGGCATTGACCTTGAGTTTGGAGTTGTAGTTCACCTTCATCCAGAGAGCACTGTGGACTCAAACAATGAAGGATCCGGACCAAACTTGGCACGAATACTCCATATGCCCAAATATGAACACAGATGGAGGTTGGGGGAAATAGACCTTGACATTTGGGAGTTGTAGTTGCTAGGATTTATAGTTCACCTACAATCAAAGAGCATTCTGAACCTCACCAACGACAGAACTGGGGCAAACTTCCCACACTGAACCCCCATGACCAACAGAAAATACTTAAGGCCATCCAGTCAACTCCCTTCACCAGGGCAAGAAAACATAATCAAAGCCCTCCTGACAACAAGCCATCCTGCCATAGATATAAATTGATATATATGATTCACAGACACACACATATATGGATATCACAGATACAGTATCATAGATTTCAAAAGGACCTCCAAAGAAGGACAATTATATGTTGCATGTTCCAGAGTATGCAAACCAGACAATCTCTTCATCAACACTGACAAAGAAACAGCAACAAATACTGTTTACCCACAAGCATAAAGAAATTGCATATATTAGAAATCATCTCCGATGAGAAATCAGAATGAAATTTTTCTAGTTTACCTTGTATACCTGATTGTTAAATATTTCCCTCTTTCCTGCTCCCAAAACTGTTAAAAATTGCATGAGTTACTTTAATCATGAGTTTAATCAGCTCTAATAATTATCTCATTCTTTAATAAAATATACAACACAAGCACCATGGTTTCACCATACTCTCATCTGACAAAACTCTCATCTGACATCTCTAAGAAATGTTGTAGATCTTCCAGGCAATTCTATGGTATATAAAATTCCTCCAACACAACTCTGTCATAACTTCTGGCAGAGGTTGTTCATTTCAATTGGGTTTGCTCCTATCCATGTTTTCCTGTTTCCAAGGTAAGTCCAGGAACGTATCCCCCATGGAGACAGGGGATATACTGTACTCGTGTCCATGCTTAATTCTGTAGCAAATTCTTTGTGTGATACCCTTTCGCATCATTTTGCAGGTTATTGAAGGAAAGCTGGCCCCTTTCCTGGGGAAGGTCATCAAATTTGCCACTTCTCATGTATATAGCTGCAGCCTTTGCAGTCAAAAGGGATTCATCTGCGAGATCTGTAATAACGGCGAGATCCTGTACCCATTTGAGGACATTTCTACAAGCAGGTAAAAAAGCTGTGATGCATGTGTTACCATTACTCTTCTCTTTATTTTCAATAAAATAACTGGAATGAATCAGGCATGCCTCGCAAGTTTTCTTCCACTCTATGTCGTCTTCTCAGGGTTAAATAAGATACGACATTAAGTGGATTTTTGCTTCAAGAAAGGATTTTCCCAATGCAAAATAACCAAAACAGTGGGCCATTTTAGTAAAGACGACAAGAGGGTGTGAAATACGCCCCGTGTTATTCACTGTTTGCTCCTTGCATTGAAAAATTATGCCAAATGTAAATTTATTTATTTTTTATTTATTTATTTACTTCACTTGTATACCGCTCTTCTCAGCCATCAGGCGACTCAGAGCGGTTAACAACCAGTATCAACAACATAGTACAAAATCATTAGTCATTTAAAACAGTAATATCAATTAATTAACATCAAAACCAACAATACAGCAAAACAACAATCCGTCACGTCTCATCAATAGAATCAGCATCCGATCTCGTTGTCCATTAATCCATATCCCAGTAATCAATCAATTTCACTGCTTAGTTAAAAGCCTGTTCGAAGAGCCAGGTCTTCACTCTCTTCCGGAATGCCAATAAGGAGAGGGCCGATCTAATGTCTGTAGGAAGGGTGTTCCACAGCAGGGGGGCCACTACTGAGAAGGCCCTGACTCTCATCCCCGCCAGGCGGGACTGAGAGCAGGGCCTCCCCAGACGATCTTAACGTCCTAACTGGTTCATAGGAGGAGATGCGTTCGGACAGATAGGTCGGGCCAGAACTGTTTAGGGCTTTAAAGGCTAAAGCCAGCACTTTGAATTGTGCCCGGTAGCAAATTGGCAGCCAGTGGAGCTGGCGCAACAGAGGAGTTGTATGCTCCCTGAGTGCCGCTCCTGTTAGCATCCTGGCTGCCAATCGTTGGACCATTTGAAGCTTCCGAGCAGTCTTCAGAGGCAACCCCACGTAGAGAGTGTTGCAGTAGTCTATATGGGATGTAACCAGAGTGTGAACTACCGTGGCCAAGTCAGACTTCCCAAGGTACGGGCGCAGCTGGCGCACAAGTTTTAGTTGTGCGAATGCTCCCCTGGTCACCGCTGAAACCTGGGGTTCCAGGCTCAGCGATGAGTCCAAGATCACACCCAGACTGTGATTATTATAAATATAATAATAACAGATGCAAAGAGGCATTTAGTGTCATGTCTGGTTTGACCTCCCAAGTCCTGAAGCATCACTTTTCTACAATACCTCTTTTTTTTTACTCGAGTGATCTTCCCTATCCAAGGTTCGCCAATAGCTAGAGTGTATATGCATTTTAAAGAAATGTTTAGTGCATTTTGGGGGCATTGCTCAAAGTTATATTGAAATCAGGGGAATGTGTGCCTGGATCTCTTGAAAAATGCCAAGTGTAAACCTGTCTGTGGAGGAGCAGTTGTATGATTTGAGTGAAGAATGTGCACTATGCTTCTGTGGCATTTACTGTCATTCTTGTGTCTACCCCCATGTAAACATCAGAAGATTTGTTGGAGTCAATTACATCCCAATATTATGTGCTGAGGGCTAGACATATGAGCTCATGTTAAACACAGTGATGAACATAACCTTAAGGGAAAACTTGTAAACTCTGGAAGTTGGTTCAGAATTTTACTTCTAAGATTCCTTAAGATAAATCTTTTCTGGAGGCATGCCCTGGATGTGCAAGCATGATACTTTTAGAGACCCCTTTGGCTTCAAATTTGCCACTTCTTTTGTGTGTAGCTGCAGCCTTTGTAGTCAGCTTAAATGGGAGGCTAGTCCCCAAACTATATTTTTCAACCCTGTTACACTTGCAAGCATTTGGGATACACACAGTGAAGATTGCCTGAAAGTCCGCAAAAGGTGTGCCTGGGGGGGGTGGGGATTTGGGAGGAATAGTGGAAGCTGAAAATATGAGGACTAGGGTTTTTATGCCCTTAACAGGGAAATGTTGGTGCTACTGAAATTAGGGTGTGCTTACAATTGACGGCGCCCTATAATGGAAGAAATATGGTAACACCATATAAAGATGTCTCTTCCAGAAAATTTGGCTACACTGGCAAAGGAATATCTTCCAGCTGTGTAGAAAAGAAGTAACAGAGTGCCCTAAGAAAATAATCTTGGCCATCTCACAAGCTGCCAACTAATGTAGAAAGTAGATCAACACCACACATGTTCAAAATGTGATGCTTCATAGCTGGACAATCCACTCTGTGAGATTAATTATATGAATAGTGTTTGGCCCCTTCTCGCATATAAAGAGGCACGTAATAAAAAGACAAATTAGAAAGGGCAAATATAAATACACATATATATGATCAACACCTTCATCCATGGCTTTCATTATACCTTGGGCCTAATGTTCAGTGTGAGAGTAAGCTATGTACTGCTGTAAATGCATACTGCCAATGAACCAGAAACACATGTCTTTCCCCAAAGTCAGGCTTTAGGTCTGTTATACAGTTCTGCGGCCAAAAAGAGGAAAACAGGAACAGACTTGGCCACGGTAGTCCACGCTCTCATTACATCTAGGATAGACTACTGCAACGCACTCATCGTGGGGTTGCCTTTGAAGACTGCTCGGAAGCTTCAAATAGTCCAACGAGAGGCAGCCAGGGTAATAACTGGGGCAGCATACAGGGAGCATACAACTCCCATGTTACGCCAGCTCCACTGGCTGCCAGTTTGCTACTGGGCACAATTCAAAGTGCTGGCTTTGGCCTATAAAGCCCTAAACAGCCCTGGCCCAAATTACCTGTCCGAACACATCTCCCGCAGAGATTAAGATCCTCCGGGGAGACCCTGTTTTCCTTCCCGCTCTTGTCACAGGCACAATTGGTGGGGACGAGAGACAGGGCCTTCTCAGTGATTGCTCACCCTTCCTGGTGAGATCAGGTTGGCCCACTCCCTCCTGTCCTTTAGAAGGATGGTAAAAACTTGGCTGTGGGACCAAGCTTTCAGGACAGGGCAATAAAGCGGCAATAGGAAAGATGACCAGGCCAATTAGACTTGACGCGGATGACTAGAACAGTTTTAAATTGTGTATTTTAATATTTTGCTTTTTTTAAAAAAAATATTTATGTATGTGTATGTGAATTTGTGTCCTGGCATTGCATGTTTGCCGTGTATATGCTGTGCTCTGCTCTGAGTCCCCTTCGGGGTGAGAAGGGCAGAATATAAATGTTTTAAATAAATAAATAAATAAAATAAAATAAAATAAAATAAAATAAAATAAAATAAAATAAAATAAAAGGTGGACCAGATTTCATCCCTAGTGCCTTCTTTCCCAGACATCAACCCCTTCTAGTGGTTTTATTTCTAGTAAACTGTTATCTTACGCAGGCAATGAGGGTCAAATTCCGAGGAGTAGCAATACTAATGTGTTGTGATAGCAAAATCTTATGGTCTGCTGTGACATCTTCAGGACTGACAAACAGAGACTTTGCATTGATGTTAATTCCAAAAATGGTTGAAAATGTTGAAGTTTAATTCAACCACTGTTTTTCCTATGTAATAATTGTGGCTTAATAGTAGGTAAGTGAATAACCCTATGTAACAAACCTTGAATTGTTTTCTGTTTCTGGTTTGAAAGTGTTATTTCCTGTTTAATTGTGCCGTACCTACTTTGACAGCAGTTATACTCCAGAAACTTTGTTTTTGTGGCTACCGCAAACTATGCTACAGTAGTTGGGACTCTATACATTCATTGAAAAACCATAGCAAAATGCACTGCAGGATGTCCTGCAATAAACATTTTCCATGTTTTTATGACAGAACCAGTTAGGAAATGACATTTCTAACCCAGGAACAAAAATTGTGTTACATAGTGTAATCCATTTTTTATTCCCTCTAGTGGGATAAAGATGAGTTTATTATATATGAAATGTGGCGTACCTTTCACATGCACATACAAGCAAACCATTTTGTAAATGTTTTCATCAAAAAGTGATGAAAACGCTTTGGCCCAGAATCAAGATAAAACAATAAATATTAACCCACTAGCTGTTTACTGCCATGCGTTGCTGTGGCCCAGTCTGTGTATATGTGTTTTGTGTGTGTATATATTTGTGTATATGTGTCTAAGTGTGTTTGCATATATATGTGTGTGTGTTGTGTGTGGTGTATAATGTATTTGCGAATGCGCTGTAATGTGTTTTTTATTTTTTGCGTTGCTGTGGCCCAGTCTATGTATATGTGTTTTGTGTGTGTATATATTTGTGTATATGTGTCTAAGTGTATGTTTGCATATATATATGTGTGTGTGTTGTGTGTGTGTATGGTTTTGCGAATGCGCTGTAATGTGTTTTTTATTTTTTGGCTTTTTAAGTCCCTTCTGCTGTGTTTTTCAGTGTTTTTATGAGTGATGGTCACTCGTTGGCCTGATAGGTGTCGTGTGTCCAAATTTGGTGTCAATTTGTCCAGTGGTTTTTGAGTTATGTTAATCCCACAAACAAACATTACATTTTTATTTATATAGATATGCTTTTTGGCACAATCAGTTTTGCTATTGTCTTTCTGCATACCTATATTTAGTTCTGCTAAATATGAATTAAAATTGAAAGCATTTATCTTTTTGTAAAAAAAATGAAATTCTTATAGCTCTTTAGCCTCTAGTTCAGGCTAAACTTTGGCCTTCCAGGTGTTTTGAACTCCAACTCCCACAATTCCTAATAGCATAACGGCTGTTAGGAATTGTGGGAGTTTAAGTCCAATACACCTGGAGGGCCCAAGTTTGCCCATTCCTGCTCTAGATAATAATAATAATAATAATAATAATAATAATAATACTTTATTTATACCCCGCCACCATCTCCGCGAGGGGACTCGGAGCGGCTTACATGAGGCCAAGCCCGACAACACATCACAAAACAAAAAGCAATAAGCAAATAAAAGCAAATAAAACAATACAATTAATATAAATCACATGGCCTGGCCAGATGTAATAGTTTAAAATTTTAAAAATAAACGCTGGGCATGAACAGAGGTAGGAT